ACGATACTTGAACTCGGCCCTTTAAGCTGCCTCACTCGACGCTTTCGTCTGCGCTCTCTCATCTTATCAGCGGCTGATCACCACTGCGATCTCACACATTCAAACTTTTGCCACAATGCAACTGGCTCACCCACCTCGGATTCCCTCCCCCTTACAAGGCTTAGTCCTAAGGCTCTCACCTCCCTCCTTGGGATTTGGAGCCGAGCCAGGCGCCATTCTCTGATCGTCTGTGCTCTCCGCCATTCGTGGCAGGACCATGGACGAAAGTGCAAGTAGTCCGTAAACCAACTGCGAATCTTACGACTATTTACTGTCCTCACCAAACTTCAAACCTATAATAAGGGATGGGGTGGAGATGGTATAACCTCACGCCTGCACTCTGTGCTCGCAATACAACTAGATCTCACAGAATCACAGCGAAATGTTTTGAATGAGTTTTCATTGGAAGTGTTCTTATCAATATAATAAGCCATGGTTTGCGGTGATGATGAAATGTCTCACTCACCGACGAAGGCATCTGGAGGATACAGCAACAGAAGAACAATGGCTATAAACACAAGTGTATGCAGCAGTATAGCACTGTTTGGCAGAACATAGGTGGCTGAAACGATCGTGATTAGAAATAAAAACACTTTGTAATGTCAGTAAGCCTAACACTCACTTTGCAATGCATTCCACTCCTCCTCAGTGAGGGTGCGACAATTTACTTGCACGAATAATGTAGCGAGTATTACCAATATCACATTAAGTTGTTGGATCATGCGGAAAAGAATAGAAAAATAGAATGAAACGATAGCACAGCCCAGCCAGAACACGACAAATTTGTTGGAGTTATCGCCGTGGGTGATCCACTTGGGACCACCCACGTTCAAACGATTCCATTGCTGACAAATTGGAAATTGAAATGGTGTGTTGAATGTTTCTAGAAAAGAACTTTGACCTAAGATGGAAATTTTGATGAGTTCGTTGGGAGATTCACGACCTGAGCTCTATTTTAACGTCACCAAAAATAAAGAAATAAAACTAACACGAGATTTTCAACTTTTTCCCAGTATTTCGCACACTCGCCGCTCAGCCTTCTTAATACTCAATGTCGTGGTTAGCGAATGTATCTGCTTGCGATAGTTTACATCACAGAGCGAATGAAAACCCGGACAAGAGTTTAACTTCAGCACACAACCGATGGGCTACCGTAACCCTGACGTGAACCTCAAGTGACGGAGCAATACATTATCTAAAAGGTACGTAGCACTAAGTTCAGTCGTTTCGTGTAGGATGTTCATCACAGTGAATTCATGAAGCTTCTTCTAAAAGCTCGTGAAAATCGACGTACTCTTGAATTGGTCCCATGATTGGTGTTTGCTTACATTTTGGTCACCTTTTCCAAGAATGTGGGACTTCATAATTCCCTACCGGACCTGGACGGAATGATATTCGTATAATCTTGATAACTTACTACTGCGATTCGTTATAAAATTACCCAACTGCCTCAAAATTTGAAGTGTAATGTTCGAAATTGGCCATTGCCCCAGATCCAGCATATAAATAAAATTGGAGAGAAACTCATTAAGGTTTGCGGTCTGGGTCAAAAAAGTGAAGAAATAATCGTTTCAAAG